TTTTCTCATACTTTCAGCTCTTCTTTAGTTTTGTTATTGTTGTTTTTACCTTATCTAGATAACAACAATATGGACGTAATGCTTTTTCTCACACTTTCAGCTCTTCTTTAGTTTTGTTATTGTTCTTTTTACTTTGTCTAGATACTAACAATATGGACGTAAAGCATTTTTTCACACTTTAAGCTCTTTCTTAGTTTTGTTATTCTTGTCCTTATCTTTCCCAGATACTAACATTATGGAAATAAAACCTAAACTAATCTATAAATGAAACTAAGATAATGTAAAAAAATATTTACTCTTTATCGAAATTTGTCAATATCAAAATACACAGTAACAAAGTGTTACAATATTTGAAACAATACGATCAGCACTTTATTTGTGACCCTTCTTCCAACAGTGTAACATTATTTGAAACAATATGATAAGCACTTTCTTTGTGACCTTCTTTATTTGAAACAATATGATCAGCACTTTCTTTGTGACCCTTCTTTCAAAAGTGTAACATTATTTGAAACAATACGATCAGCACTTTCTTTGTGACCCTTCTTTCAAAAGTGTAACATTATTTGAAACAATACGATCAACACTTTTTTTGTGACCCTTCTTTCCAGAGATCCGAATATTTATATTTCTCGTTAGTATTTTTCTTGCCGACGCTGAAATAGCATTAAAAAACTGAAAAGAAGATACAAGAATAATTATTATATTAACATATAAATAAAACTATTAATCTTGAGTTGGCTGGAATATTAACAAAGGAAACGAAGAAACTTTCATGTTTATATCTTAATATAGTCATGGGCGCCCGCAGGAAGGGGCAAGGGAGGGTCACTTGACCCCCCCCCGGATTTTCAAAAATAAAAAAACTAGATATATAAAATTATTATTCTATGTTATTAGAAAACTATAAGGTATTTGTATTTCGATTTCATAATTTTTCCAAACTTCAGTTACTTTACCCCCTTAAATTGTTTTTTAGCGGGCGCCATTGAATATAGTGCTCTGTTTTATTAAATTATATCATATATATGTGTGTGTGTGTGCATGTTTATTTGTCTCTCTAGATGTTCACTTGCTTATCTGTCTGTCTATTTGTGTACTTGTTTTTCTCTGGCAATACGTGTACTTGTTTGACTTGAATGTCTGTGTGCTTATTCATCTATATGTCTACATATGTACTTGTCTATCTGCCTGTCTATATGTGTGCTTGTTTGACTTGACTGTTTATGTACTTTTTTATCTGCTCGTCTATATGTATACATATTTGACCAATATGTTTGATTTTCGTTATTTCTCTGCGCCTGTTTATGCTTACTTTTTGATGTATCTCAAATTTCATATACATTTGTTTAATTGTTTTATATTTGGACGGTTAATGGGCGTATATATTCACGCATATTTAACATCGTATGGCATTATATGTTCTGACCTTTAAATGTTGAGACCATGTTCCACGTGTTTAAGCTTTTTACTACACGTTTTATTTAACTTGTATGTGTATTTCATATACAAAGACTTAATTGAGTAACGCTGATGATTTACGTATGCCTGGATGCTTATGGATCGATGAAAACCTTATAATAATAATGTTATCAGAGAAGGATAAACCATCCACGTACAAATGCTGGTTAATTATTCTCCAATAGCTAATACTTTCTACTTTTAGCCGTGTTAATTATCTACAAAATAACTGTGCTTATTACGAAAGTGGAGATTCAAGTTAATTGAAAAATACTCTAATTGAATGGAAGACTATGTTATATTTAATAACATGTTAACTGTCTTCGAACTTTAATGAAAATTATAACTTTTTTCCCAGTTTGTTTTTATTTGGAAAGATGAACCGTTCTCGTGCTCACATAGCATTTTTAAAACAACAGTTATCTGACATCATCAATTTGTTCATGTTCACTTCTATTGGCTAACACAGAAGGTTGAAAATGTTGTAATAAATTATTTTGAATATGCAACCACAGCCAATTTAAAGTTACAGTGTAACAGAATGTATCAGAACTATATTTTGACATTGTTCGACGTTCGTAGATAGTGCGATGCCACAGAAAATTCATCGCTTTTGAGAAGGGTATGTGACAGTCCTTTCCAGGGAAATATAATTTCCAAGATGGTGATATCTCTGATACTTAATGGTATTGGTAAATGAAGAAATATTGATAAACTTGGGGCACCAGGACCATCCAGAAAGAAACCTGTAAAACTTCGTACCGCAGCAGAGGTAAGAAAAGTTCGGCATCTTTTAACGGGTGAGAATCCAGGAACATAAGAGTTAGTGAGAAAATACGCTCACACGTCTCAGGCAACAGTACGCAACACAATCAAAGAGGATCTCCGTCTGAAAAAGCGACACATTTCACGCGTGCACGAGATGCTTTCACAAAATATCCGTTCAACTGTCGCCTACTTCAAGTAGCTGCAGAATAAAATGAGTATTCATGGTATTCTATATAAAGATATACCAATAAAGTTGCCGGACACAACACCTATACATTTATTTGCGATTAAACTGTTGATACAAGTGTTGTGAAACCGCCGTCCGCGTGCATTAGATATTATTATGTAAAGCTTGCAGCGTTGAGTGGTATGATTTGGACAGGACAACCCCAGCTTAACATCGGAGTCGTTTGTAATGTAAGCTTTGCTGCAGAGCTATTGTGACGATGAGGCTCCAAAATTGTTTTGATATAACGTATTCAACCATATAGAGTAATTTACACTTATTTGATATAAATTTATCTTTAAAGATAAACTGGATTAATTATATATATATATATATAATACTTTACATCGCAATTTCCGTCGTAACAAGCTTTTGCATAGAAGAGTGAAGTCCCTCTTAGACAACACATTTTAACAAACTTTCCATACACCCTGCTCCAAAGATAGACATTGGCTCCCAAGAATACGTTTAAGCAAACCAAAAGTACAGAAATCGATATGAGTATCATCGTAATACTTGGACAGTGTATGGTTGGATGGGATTGTGTGTTGTTGTTTTTCAGTCATGTTTCTCGACAAAACAACCTTTGATTTTGAAATATGAATTTTTTTCCACATCAAATCCATGTTTGTTATCTTCTTACGCCTAGCTTCTTTAAAATGGCTTTATGGGTCTAATGGTTCTCTTTCGTAATCATAGTTTTCACTTTGCGGATGAGGATGTCGCTCCGGATTGGATGTAGGGATGTGTTTTCGGAACTCATTGATGTTCTTAACGCTAATTTTTTACGCTTCCGTGGAGAATACTGAAGCCTTACTTTTCGACATGTTGCCGCTAATATCTCTACATCGTTTAATAAACTGGGTATATGGATAAATCTTTTCGAAAGGTATTTTTAATGTCATTCTAAACATGGGACACCTGTGGTTGCATGCACGTTCGAATGGCAAGAAATGTGTCGGTAAATATATATATACAGGTGTGACGTATGTCGACAACGGTTAGCCATTGATAGAGCTTGGGATTTTCTTTTTTATTTCGTGCTAGCAATTTAAACTCTTTCGTGTTTTGAATTCAAAATAAAAGTTCTGTTGAAGTTATTTCCTATTGAAAGAATAGCTTCGTGAATGACATTGGCTGGTCTTTAACACTATGACACTAAAAAATTACACATAGTCACACATGTTGTGGAAGATTGAAAAAATCTAGCTTAACGTCTCCAATTTTTTCATTAAACACACAAATACAATACAGTCCTGTTTTAGCATCCAAATACAATACAGTCCTGTTTTAGCATCCAACTGCAATGCAGTCCTGTTTTAACATCCAAATACATCACAGTCCTATTTTAGCATCCAAATGCAATACAGTCCTGTTTTAACATCCAACTACATTACAGTCCTGTTTTAACATCCAAATACAATGCAGTCCTGTTTTAGCATCCAAATACAATACAATCCTGTTTTAACATCCAAAGAGTAAAAATACGGTATGAAAGAAAAAGGTTTTGCATGATCACACACGGTGAGAACAAGCCGTCGCTCCAAGGGTATGCCACTTAAATTCTCAGTCCTTGATTTGTAAAACTAGGTCTGAGCATCTTATTTCGTTTTTATTTAAACGTTAAAGTCAATCCACTTGCTTACCAATTTTTATGCTATAAGAAAATAAGTTCGTACTTCATTTTTAATAGATAACATCACAGTACTTCATCCATGAACTGTAGGAGTTTGTTATAATGATATTTGTATTGATCCGTGAACTGTAAGAGTTTGTTATAATGATATATGTATTGATCATGAGCTATAAAAGTTTGTTTTACTGATATATGTATTGATCCGTGAAGTGTAGGAGTTTGTTTTAATGGTATATGTATTGATCCGTAAAGTGTAGGAGTTTGTTTTAATGATATCTGTGTTGATCATGAGCTATAGGAGTTTGTTTTACTGATATATGTATTGATCCGTGAAGTGTAGGAGTTTGTTTACTGATATGCGGATTGATCATGAACTGTAGGAGTTTATTTCAGTGATATCTGTAATAATCACGAACTGTAGAAGGTTGTTTTACTGATATATGTATTGATATGTGAACTGTAGGAGTTTGTTTTACTGACATATGTATTGATCCGTGAAGTGTATGAGTTTGTTTTAATGGTATATGTATTGATCTGTGAACTGTAGGAGTTTGTTTTACTGACATATGTATTGATCTGTGAACTGTAGGAGTTTGTTTTACTGATATATTTTTACTTCTGACATCTCCATGCTTAGTAACTTACGAGGTAGCTGTGTTTGAAGCTGTTGATGTTCAATGTCACTGTAAACTTAAAGAAGAAACGCTATTATGATGTGTTGTCATGAGCGAGCTGCAAAATTTTGACGATCATTATATTAACTTTCCATAAATCTGAATTCCTCAAGTACACGTACGGGGTTCTTCACATTAAGTCACTCGTAACGTAAACGATTGGACAATTAAAATGACGGTAATCAATTCCACACTACTAAGCTTTACCTTATACTTTGCATGCTCTTCTTTTCAGGGTATGGCCTATTTACACAGCAGCGAGGTCCGTTTCCATGGAAACCTGATGTCATCCAATTGTGTGGTTGACAGTAGGTTTGTATTGAAAATCACGGACTTTGGTTTCCACAGTCTAAGGGTTTCTGATGAGAATGTTGATTCCTATGATTACTGGAGAAGTAAGTGAAATAATATTAAAAACCTTTTTAGTGACATATCAGACAAAATTAAGAGTGAAAACATAAAAGCGGTTAAAACAATTGCATTCATCCCAAATGCTTACAAACCTGTCAAACATTTCGACACAATCTAGTGTCTTCCTCACTTGCTACCGTCTTTTATATCAAGTAAATTGATTCATTAAACCAATGCCCGAAAACTTGATTGATATATCTAAATAACTTAAACAAGTATACATTCTCTGTGAAATTGTTAGTACATTCTAAGAAAAATGCAAACATTTACAAACTTTACATTCATTGCCTAAAAAAAAAGGAAATATAAAATCTTCATCAGTTTTTTTTTTTGGTGTGTGTGAGAACCAAAAAGAGCATCCTGCACAAACTTTACATCAAATTCTTCCTCATATGACACTCTATCATTAATTTACTGAAACAGTAAGCACATCATCATGTTTATCCAGATTATGACACTCTATCATTAATTTATTGTAATAGTAAGCACATCCATCATCTTGTTTATCCAGATTATGACACTGTCATTATTTTACTGAAACAGTAAGCACATCATCTTGATTATCCAGATTATGACACTCTGTCATTAATTTACTGAAACAGTAAGCACATCATCTTGTTTATTCAGATTATGACACTCTATCATTAATGTATTGTAATAGTAAGCACATCATCTTGTTTATCCAGATTATGACACTCTATCATTAATTTACTGAAACAGTAAGCACATCATCATGCTTATCCAGATTATGACACTCTATCATTAATTTACTGAAACAGTAAGCACATCATCGTGTTTATCCAGATTATGACACTCTATCATTAATTTATTGTAATAGTAAGCACATCATCTTGTTATCCAGATTATGACACTCTGTCATTATTTTACTGAAACAGTAAGCACATCATCTTGTTTATCCAGATTATGACAGTAAATACTGAAACAGTAAGCACATCATCTTGCTTACCTATATTATTCTTTTACTTGTATCTAACTAACAGATATTACTTAGTACAAAAACAGAAGGTTTTGTCTGTTTTAAGAAAGCTCTTTTTTTTCCCAAATGCTAATCTATTAGGTACGAAAACTGAGAATTCCTCACGTGTAAATGTTGTGTTCAAGATATATATATATATATACTGGCTATAGGTAAAGGACAATGGGATATTTGGTGTGATGAATTTTATAAATTTATCATCTTGAAGCCTATAAAGCCTATAGTCAAATAAGGACGGACAGAGTCGCTGTTGAGTTATTTTCTGTACAGTCTCATCACTTTTTTGATTTACGAACATCTTGGCCGTATGCTGATAATACGTGAGTACGAATGCGTATTTTAAAGGCCTGAAGCTGAAAGTTGGCATGAATGCTGAATAATTCATAAAATATTCTTAAGTATATACACACAGAGCATTTTGTGTTAAAATAAGTCAGATCAATACATCTATAAATCATTTTATTATAAAAATGTTCAATATTTTAAAATTGAAATTATTTTTACGAAGAATTACGAATTAACGTCAGGTACAATATGTAAGTGTTTTTGTTTTTTTGGGTGGATAAAAATTGTTATAGTAAATTTAGCCAACGATAACTTGCTAGCCATCACTAAGATGAAATTTTGAATAATATTTCTATAAGTTATTTGACGTAAACAACAACTAATTGTCTTGCTTTTTTTACAGTTTGGAGTTTAGTATATTGTAATATATATATTGTGTAATATATATTTAAACTCGACAACGTGCTTTTAGCAACAAAAATTTGTTTATTAATAGAAGTTCCCCAATAGGTCGACAAGCCAGTGGTCAGTTTACGCTCAAATCTCGGGTTCGCTTCTCCCTGGTGGACAGAGAGCATATAGCCTATTGTGTAGTTTTGCGCTAACTGTATCCCTAGTAATGTGTGGGTCTTATCACTCAGATACCTCTGCCACTAAGAACACAATCTGCAGTAATTTGTATCATACATTTAATTATTTATCTGCCCTATTTGCGCAATGCTAGTTGTTTTATCCTTTTTCACTAACTTTAGAAACTATATAATTGAAATTACATATTTATTTAATTTAATCATTTAATTCTCGAACCATTTTTATCCACAACGAATATCGCTTTACGTATAAAAGTGTAAAATGAGTGCTCCATAAAGTATAAAGCTATGTATTTTTAATCAAATAAAAAGTGAACTATTCTATAGCATAATTAGACAATGTAATAGTTATACTCGTTTGTAATTGTTTTCCCTTTCGAGAGTTGCCTTCAATTCGCCAGATTAAGGAACTATTTTAACAAGACATTTTACAACTCACAAGACGGTTTTCATCTTGTTTCAAAAAAGGGAAATATATAAATGTCTCTGTTTCCAGAGAAAAAGCCTTACTATTGTGTTTTGTAGTAGGATTTTACCAGTGTATACACTATTGTGTTTCGTAGTAGGATTTTACCAGTGTATACACTATTGTGTTTCGTAGTTGGGTTTTACAAGTGTATACATGTTCTATAGTGGAAATATATAAATGTCTCTGTTGCCAGAGAAGAAGCCTTACTATTGTGTTTCATAGTAGGATTTTACCAGTGTATACACTATTGTGTTTCGTAGTTGGGTTTTACAAGTGTATACACTATTGTGTTTCGTAGTTGGGTTTTACAAGTGTATACATGTTCTGTTAGCGCTTTGGTGACTACTTTATGTGTTAGTTTGTTGGTGACACTGACCAGTAGAAAATAGACTTGTTACAGTTATCAAACTTTGTTATAAGCTTTGTTGAGTGTTATCAGACACTGTCATTTTTCCACAGCTAGACATAATTCATACAGTTTTCTAGAGTTGATCTCTCTTTCTTTTATATATCATGGAAGCCACTTGTATACGCGTGATTTCTGACACTAAACGAAAATCCCTCTTGATTACGTTGCACACTGATGTCTAGAATATGTAGACGACTTTTGCCACTTGTATTTGGGTTCGTGGTTTCTCACCTGTTACAAGACGCCGCACTTTGCTTGCTACGGCGGGGTACGACTTGTTGTAACTCTCTTTTTGGATGGTCACTTTCCTCAAGCTGATTCATATTCCTTTGTTTTCCATGGTCATTAAATTCTAAATCCCCAATTTGCACACACCTTTATGATCTGAGTTAATGAATGTTTTGTGTCTTATAGAGCTGTTATATACCATTCCCCAAATCGATCAATTTCCGGTGGCATCACACTTCATATGTAACGCCAGACAATGTCAAACTGTAGTCCATATACGATTCCATTCCACCGCGACTTTATATCGGCCTATTTACATATTCAAAATCGTTTTTATATAACGTATTTAACCCTCTGTAAAACAAAATCCATAAAATAAATACTTGAATTAACCTAGGACTTTACAGCAATACATTGTGTACCTGTAACGGAAATCAGAATAGCAGAATGCGCGCGTGTTAAAAAAAATAATGGTAAACAAATGATTCAACAAACAAGCTGAAATGAGAGCGTCTTCAAAAATATAATCACGTTTGAATTTGTTTTGTTTTGAATTTCACGCAAAGCTACACGAGGGCTATCTGCGCTAGCCGTCCCTAATTTAGCAGTGTAAGACCCCAAGAGTTGGCGGTGGGTGGTGATGACTAGCTGCCTTCCCTCTAAAACATGCTCGCCCTTTCAGCCGTGGGGGCGTTATAATGTGACGGTCAATCCCACTATTCGTTGGTAAAAGAGTAGGGGTGTGACGGGGATTCGAACTCGCGACCCTCAGATTGCGAGTCGAGCCTGGTGCTTCCGTATTAAAACATATAAATAAACATAATGATGTGCTCTTCTCACTTTGATGCTGTGGTCATTTGTCCAGCTCTGGGATAAAAAAAAAACAACAGCTTACTAATTC